TAAAGGTGATGTGAGTGTCGAAAGAACTTAAAAACCAGTCTAGCCATGCACATATCGCATAAAGTCAAAGCGTCTGAAGCCTTTCTTTGTGTGTTTCTGACGAGGGAAAATATAAACATGTGCCATATGTTTTTACTTCATTAACTTTTTCGTGTCTTTGAGTATCATTTAAGATGGTGCTTTTAGATGTAGATGAATCTGAATATTTGCATACATATTAGCAGGACATATGCTTTAAATGAGAACTCGACGAAGTTAAATATCAGAACAGCATTTGTCTTTGTTTTCCATTCCATACCCAACATTAAAAATCACATTAAACATTTTAACACTATCTAAGTTTTCAGTCAAGTAGAGGCTAAATAATTTTAAGAAAAAGCTAGAAGCTAGACAGGAATTTTCCGGCTACACCCAAATAAAAAATTTTAAATCAAGCCGGATTATACTAAGATGGCAACACTGGTCTACGATCAAAAAATTTACCGAAACACTTGGGTTTGCGAAAATTTTGCTAGACTTTCGCTAAAGACTCGTTTGTTGGTCGGCTGGGAATATCTATTTGCGTATGTATGTAGAAGTACCTATAATCTTGTGTTACAGGGGTCGTAGCTAGATAATCATATAACTCAACCGCGTTTAACCCTAAAGTTCTTCCTCCTCCGATTTTTTTCTGAATGTGTATATCGTGACCTTAATTCACAAAGGCCCTAACCAACACTTCTTTTCGAAACTGCATTTTTGCACAGATTTTGGTGGGATATATAAAAGTACACCTTCAATAAAAATTGTTACACGCCGCTTTTTAAAAGCCCTTCCTATTTTTTAATATTCGTTTTATAATGTTTTTTACTTCTGCTGATGTTGGTTGTAGTGCTTCCTAGTCGCTGCCCAGAAGACAATTAGCGCCATTTTGATGCACTTATCGCGGAGGATATTTTGTCTATGCACTTCCTATTTTTCAAGGTCGAACCACTTAGATTCTCTAATGAATCTACCAATTTCGCTTATGGTAGCTCCTGATAGGTCGGTTAGTTGTGCTACTAGATGTTTTCCTAATGTCTTGTGTCTAATGTACGAAGGGCCTGTACATTCACATAGGAAATGCTGGACACTTTCTTCGCTATCTTCTAGTTGACAGCTGCGGCAAATCATATTATGGTAGTATTTTTAAGAAACAATTGGAATCTAGCATAATGGCGAGATTGTTGTTTAAATAGCGCTTACAAGACAAATCAGATACAGGTTGTTCTAAAGCTTCTTCAAAATAATTCTTCATTCTTATTCCCTTGGCTGTTTCACAATTTGGGGAATCTGCAACTTCATCAGCGTTTTTCGATTTTAGTTTTTGTAATTTGTGCTTATAGTAAGCTAAATAGGTGGATATGGAAAATAAATTATTACTTTTGAATAAAATTCTGTATTCAAAGTCATGGCTGCCAGCCGAATCGGATCAGAATATTATTTTTTTAAAAAAGCACCCCATTTTTTATAAGCATTTGAAACACAGGTGGTTACGTAATTCTTATCTAATTAAAGGTCAGACCTACATATAATAATAGATAATAGATTGGCGCTTACACATATGTTAGTGTTTGGCCGAGCTTCTCCTCCAATTTGTGGCGTGCGCCTTGATGTTGTCACACAAAGAGGTGGGACCTACATTTTTACCACGACTCCGAACGGCGATTGTATTTTAATGAGTAGCTGTATTTCATGGCAGAAATACACTCGCAGGTTTGCCATTGCCTGCCGAGGGGCGACCGCTGTTAAGAAAAAACCTTTTTTCTAAATCTTTTGCGATGTTGCTTTGACCAGGGCTTGAACCCAGGCGTAGAGACAGAGCAAAGCCGAGCTCCTTGGAGTAGACTCCCGCTCCCACACCGCAATCCATCTTTAATCCATCGGTGTATAGGGAGATGGCCTCTCGGGTGGCCACTCGGTCTTTTCTCCAGTCCCTTCTGGATTGGAATAGCACTGGCACGTTACAGCTGAAGTCAAATTGCCTACCCTCTAAAAAATGTTTGTTTAAATTTGCGCATATTAAGATAGGTAACCAGTTTCCTCTCTTAATGAATGCAAATTTACACAACGTGTTAATTAAATTAAACACTGCTTGCTTACTTTTACTTATCATATGTGTGGCGTAGAACGAATTTCAAATTTGTTTTTTTTAATTCTAAACATTTATTGTTCACAATTTCACAGTTTATACATAAAATGTTTAAAATTTCCTCTAAATTTTTTTTTTAAATTTACGAATATAAAGAGAGGTAACCAGTTTCCTCTCCTAGTGTGTGCAAAATTATTAAATGCACCCTTTTCCCTGCGTACGATCGAGTTCAACAGTATACTGCTTGTAGAACCCGGTTAAATTGACCCTGACGTGGGTGGATGTCGAATACATCCCGGGAAATGGAGCTTGACTAACGTGTTTAAAGGATCACTGGCTGTATTCGTCCACGCCCCTTTTCTCCCTTAATGAGTGTAATATTGTTGTGTTCTTTTGATAGGATTTTGCTGAGCCTGGCTGAGTCTATAGAGTTCTCTATAGAAGAGCAGTAAGATTGCCAGGATTTAGTTTAAAATTTTTTCAATTATTTTTCATAAGATCTTAGGGGGCTTTTATAAGGCGCCCAGTCTCTAGTTCTAAAGCAATCATTGAAGATTTTACTTATTGGGCTCTGAGATCCCCATTCCACCAGGGTGGGGATTTCTTTCTTACTGTACTCTCTGTCTATCAATGTCCTCAACTGTAGTACAGTTGTATTTAGTGGAAGTTTACTTCGTTTACGCTGTAGGGGTTTCTGTTTTTTGAGGGGGTGTTGGAAACTGCATACAGATTAAAGAGAATGATACGGTGATTAGACACCGGTGATAGCACCTCCTCCCATCCAAGAAACCGGTTTATATTGCAGATGCTTAAGTTAGTATTTAATAAGAAGTGTAATAAAGACTCACTTCGATCGTTTTACGTAGAAGTACCCCATACTGGATGCCTTCCATTCGCATCGGAGCCGACGACTATGATTTGTCTGGGGTTTTTGGCTATTATCTCCTTGATTTCAGTTGGCGGACTGTCCCTATCATGGGCCATGTATAATGAGGCCAGTGGTATACTTGGCAGTCCGGTGGTATCCACCTTAACCAGTGTTGTATCTGATGTGCTGAAATTAGAGCAAAGAAATGTATTTATCCCGTTCTTGATAATAATACACGCCCACCCACCTCGCTCTTTTAGTAGAGTTTGTAATTATTTATGTTCAGTTACATGACTGTATCGTGCTTGACCCAGGGCTCTTGAATTAGGCTAACGTCTATATCCTCCTCACCGAGGAGAACAGCTAGATTACCTGTAGCATATTTGGAGTGCTGCAGATTTATTTGGGCTACTTTAAGTTTTTGGTTCAGGGTCACCCGTCAGCTTCACACCCATGAGAAGCTTACCGGCTCCATCAACCCCCGGATCTTCTTCTACCGGACTAACCTCTCCGAGGAATACCCGCACTCTAGCCTTATGGATACCGAAGCAGAGCCGATAGTCAGTCTTCTCTAAGGCGTCTAGTGATTCTGGGCAAATGGCTAGCAGAATGGGCTTATTTGTAGGCCTTCTTGGCTCTTAAACCTTTATAAACTCCCATTCCTTGATCGTCGGTATGAGTTTATTATGTAGCTTAAGACGCCGCTGCAACTTTTCGCCTGTTTCATCCATCGGAGGTAGGCAAATGCGCCACGTGGTCTCCTTGGAATGCCCTTTGCTGGATCAGCTTGAGCTTCAAGCCGACAAAAGTGTCGCTGATCTTAGCAACACATCCAGCAAGGAAATCCAGGGAGAACTGGTCCGCGCACTTGACTACCCGGTATCTCCGTAGGGATTCCGACGAGTAGAACTCTGGGCGTGGACCATCGGATTTGTAGAGTACGTAGTTCATTACGAGGCTCGATAGCCTCACATCAATCTCCACACATTTCTGCTGCACTGCAAGCGGTGTCTTGCTATTTTCACCTATAATTGCCTCCTTCGCGGGTGCTGCGGACTCCGCATCACCTCCTCGCTTAGCCTTCTTTGTAATGGCTCTTTGGCCGCCTTCATTATGAGAGCGGTTCCGTTTCTTTGATCCGGTGGCCTCGATTATGGCTGCACGATCTGTCTGTAACTTTTCGTACTTTTCTACAACTATTTCTCTTGTAAAATAAAAAAATTTGTTAGTGAGGGGAGGTGTGACGATATGTTACAAGCTTCAGGAACAGTTTCCAAGTGAACTTAAAATCGCTCATTTGGCCATTTGTGAAAAAAGTGGATTCATACATAGACATATGTATATATTTATTCTTATCAACTGCAGGATGAGAGATGGCTGAAATGGTCATAAGATAACCAAAATAATCACTTCTGGAAATGTTAAGGTATCGGGGTAAAGTATCGATATTTTTACTCGTGTATATTGTTAAAAGCATCGATGCCAAAAATACTGGTAAAGGTGTAGAAAGTATTGATACTATCGCACTTGTGAGTAGTATCGTCCCAACCGTACATACATGCATGTGCGAATACATACATACATTTAGGCGCACCACCTACCACAAGAGTAAAGTGCGTGGCCACGTTCATATATACATACATCGATGTATATAACGCGCGTGACATTCACCTGACGAAATGAATATTGCGACTGAAGAGTGGTGTGAGAATGCTGCGCGGAACGGAGGACGAGCGACGAGTAACCGCCAAGTTGAGCAGATGATTTCCCGTCAACAATGTGAATGAAACCCTTTGACCAAACAATATCTGGCTGCATAGCACAACAAGTGGGGTTGGGTGCCTGAAAGCAGTACACTTTGCCAGCTGGTTCAGGCGGAAATATGTAGCAGGAACATTGAGGTGGCATGAGCTTTTAAAAGCTTTTTGCAGCATTTGCAGACATCGCTTTCTTAGTATTCTGCTTTCACTGCTTGGAATCATTACGGCGCCCGCTGAGCGAATGTTGAGCAGTTTCGTTTGGTTAGTGTAGCAGTTAAGTTCGAATTCCCGGCTAAAAGCAAAACAGCGTTTCTACGGTTTGTGAATAGAGAGTCACACAAGAAGTGAAGAGGGAACTTCCAAAATAAGTAGTAAAAATTTTGACGCGTGCGGCTTTCCGTTTGTCGGAAAGTCTTCAGCGAAAATTAATAAAGGGCTTTAGTTGCACACTTTTAATCAATGAGTTTTACAGAGTATCAGCGGTGTGTGTGTGTGTGAAAAAAAGATTTTACATATTGGTCTCAGCAAAATTTGGCAAGTGTCAAAATTTACGTCTGTATAATTTGGAGCAGTGTTGCCAACTTACTACATAGCGAGAGAGTGAAATGAGAAATTATTCATGGTGAAAACAAAATAGAATAAGTAAGCGCACAATTTACACAAGCAAATAACACAAATATTGTTTTAAAACCGAATACAAAAATAAAATATTAATAATTTAGAATTGTGATTTTGTGGACGTCATTATTGCACGAAGAACGAAAAACAAATTTTAAGAAGACAATTTTTAAGGGTAGAGAAGCGGCAGTAAGAGACGCCGCAAGGATAAAAGTTGATACCGACAAGTGTGCGATGGTCTTTGCTGCATGGTGCAATCCCTCGGGCCTGCAGATGTTCCTGATATGCTCGCTGATACTGGTGTTCGCCATTAATCTGCCCACCATTGCGGCTACAAGCGGAAACAGTGCTCACGCCACGCTCAATGGAAGGAATGACGTGTTCACTAGTTCATTCTTGGTGCGTTTCAGGCGCAGCGTCGACAATGGCTTTGCTGGTGAAGTAGCAGCGCGCTACGGATTCGATAACATTGGACCAGTAAGTTAAAAAAAATATGCCACTATGCTGCAAAGTGCAAGCTTCGGAAATATATTTCTGGTTTTACAAATCTATTCGCAAATATTAGGATTGCTCTGGTTTCTGCAATTTGTTATTTTGGTAATCTGTGATTTGTTGTAGTTATTGTTGTTGTATTATAATATTTGTTACTCTTTTGATTCTTGGAAAATCAATTTGTTTCCACCAACTGGCAGCGTTATAGCGCCATACTTAACCCTTGAAATATTGGACGACACAGCGTCGTTGAGAGTGGTAGGCAACAATGCAAATAAAGGGGAAGAGCAGCCAGAAAATAAATAAATAACAAATTAGGGAAAAATATAGAAAGTTCAAACGCGTCAAACAAGAGGGGTGTCTATAAATATACATATGTGCATACAATATGTGCACATGTGTATAGTCACACATACCATTTGTATGCATGTACATACATACATTACATACATACATACATACATACATATGTATTATGTACGTGCACTGCGTGCTCCCCTTTAATTCGTTTATATGAATGTCTGACTGTTTGCGCGTGAATTCAGCTCCACGTTCACGTACATGATTGAACATATGCAAACGAACGTAGGAAGGTGGCAACATGTGTACATATATACATACATATGTATGTAGTATATACTTAGTGGCCGTAGGATTTTTATGATTTTCTTCGCATTTGCAGCGTTAGGGAATTTGTTTTGCATTTAAATTGCTCTGTCGTGAGCTCACTGAATTGTTCAGCATACTTTTGGGCGGTTATGTTCTATTTTCCCAAATCCTTGTAGATCCTTGCTGTTACAAGCCAAGGTAAGTGTCTGAGCTCTTTAGCTTTTCTCTCTAGAAGGAAGTTATTAAGTCTTAATTTTGGTTGGTTATGCCGCCAATTATTGCGATTTTCTTCTCGTTTATAACATATGACGAAATTCAGATAATAAATTTCCGAATGGACTTTAATTAAGTCCCCTTAATTCTACATGTTGTTCTTCGCCCCTTAAATCCTGATTACATCAAGATTATCAAACCCGGCAGCTCTAGTATTCCCTTATTTTTTTGATCCATTTACCGGGTCTGGAAAGGCTTAGCTAAATTCTTCCCAAGTAAAGACGCCCAAACTGTATTTGTTATGTTGTCCCAAAGGTCTGTCAGGAACTTGTTTTGGCGCTGCTTATCTATTTTTTGCATTAAGATAGCAGAGATTTGCACAACATATTAATGCAATATTCACTTCAGTCTGCTTTTCCGGCTTAAAAAGACCGTTGACCTCTCTCTAAATGTTGAATGAAAACATATCTTTGACAAGCTGGAAGCCTCTATTAATTCTAAAGGACTAAATGTTGTTTGTAAGTTCAAATGCATTTTTAACCATATGTAGGTATGGTTAGAGAAGGATGTTGCCCTAGCATCCTGGGGAATATTACCCCTATAAATGTGCTATAATTACATTGTATTGCAATATACATACATATCGTTACTTTAATTCACAAAGGCCGTAACCAACACATTTTTCAAAATTGCGTTTTTCACAGATTTTGGTAGGAAGTATTAATATACACTTTCTTTTTGGTTGTTGTTGTTTCCGACAGGGTGGGTGTATGATGTATTATGGACATGTCTCCAAACCAAATTTGACAAGGGATGACGGAAATTCGTTCCATAATACATCATATTAATATACACCTTCAATAAAAATTGTAAAATATTAGTACCAAAAACAACGGAATTACATGCCACTTTTTAAAAAGCCCTACCTGTTTTTGATAACTTTTTTTTTTTAATTTTTCTGGCTTCTCCCGTAAAATAAAAAATTTGTTGTTTAGGGCCTTGTGAATTAAGGCCTTCTAAGCATCGGTTACAAGGTCTTATCAAGCGTATTGTGTGTAAGACTGAAGCCCACCGTCAGCGAACTGATTAGACCTTATCTGTGCGGCTTTACACAACCACCATAGATCAGGTATTCACAATACGCCAAAACTTGAAAAAGACCCGAGAGAATAGGATCGACACAACAATTATTTGTCGATTTCAAAGCCGCCATTAAGGATCAGCTGTTTGAGCTTTATAACCTTAAGCAGCGAATTAAAATTCAGCGGTTCCGCTGGCTAGGTCACGTCGTTCGAATGGAACGCTCCAGCTCTGAAAGTATTCGCGATGCTGGCCAATTGGCGTCAGTTAGCACAGATAAGAAATGACTGGCGTGCTGTTTTGAACTTGGTCAAAATTGCTTAGGCGGTTACAGTGCCAATAAAGCAGAAGATTGTTTGCGAATTAATACCAGTTTCACGAAATTTTTATTTGCTTAAATTCGGAAACCTGTATTTTTTTAGGAAAGTTAAGAAATTGTGTTTATGTAATGGAATATGGGAGCTTAGAACTCAGAAAAATAAGAAAAAATATATACCAGTGTACGCCAACTTTATAAAATTTTAATTTTGAAAGTAACCAGCAAATGTTTGTATTCAAAATTTTTTAATCCGCTAATAGATAATTATATTTTAAGCCAAATAATTTTGACCGCATAATTGTCAAAATTTACAAAATGGCCAGCAATAAGATTTGCTTTAAATGTAGCATAAATTACGTAACGAGAAAATACTATTGGTAGAAGATATGGAGAAAAAGTTTGTTTCATTCCTAGCTTTTCAGCGAAAGGTTTGCTTCAGCTGTCTAAATATGATACAAATTCAAGAAAATTAAAGCGACAAAGTGCGATAGGGGATATTAGCTCTGATTCAGTACTCCATGAACTTACAGGTTTTTACATGAACTTGCAGGAAGTTAGAGGTAAAATGATCCCGCTCTCCAAAATCCTTCAAAATCCTGTAAATGAGAGTGATTTTTGGAGAGCTGTGTAGAGAATGAAGTTGCAAGATTTTACCCGGACTTTTTCTTCTGGTAGAATCACGAAAAGTGTCAAGCGATCACTGGTTGACGTTTTTACAGGAAAAATGTTTTTTCGTTCCCGTACTTTTTGTTGTTACCCACTTTTTACTTTAGAGAGTAATTTTGCTCTTTGACATTTTTCATTCATGTATTTTTGAATAAACTGCTGTCCATTTTCTGGGTCCTTGAAATATCCTTGGAAAATCTTTGTTAGAGTTCTGAATTTATACCATTTAAAATCCCATTTTCATATGATATTTTTCAAAACTCTCTCGCTTATGCTTGTAAGTTAGTCTAATAGTCAAGACTCTAGACCAAAACCTACATATATTTTAATAAAACCCGCAAGTAGCTTGTTGAATTATTTAAGGCCCAATTTCAGATGTGTTATTTAAGTAGAGTTGTTGTTTAACTTCAAAAATTCATTTTAAAATCATATATTTAAACTGCACTTAAATAGCTATTGAAATATGAAGTATGTAACCCTGTGTTTTTACCAAACAGCAGTCAGCTGTTCAGCACAAAATGTAGACAAACAGACAAAAGAAACAACAATTTCAGGGTATAACCAACAGTGTTGCCACTTATTGGCGTATATAAATAAAGGTGATATGAAACCCAACGAAAGCTAAGTGGCATTTAAGCAGCAATCCAAAATTAAACTTAAGTGCCATTTAAATTTTCATCTGACATTGGCCCTAAGTAATATTGCGACTTTTATTCCCAGGAAAAGATTGGAACGTACGAACATTTTTTACCCGTTCCTGGGAAATATTTTTACATGTGTTGAATGAATGACAATAATGGCTATTTATTACCAAAAAAACATTTCTGATCCAAAGCCTACTATTGTTTTTTTTTGACGAGAAAAGTGCCTCCGCATCGCACGTCCGTAACGCATGAAAGACCAATATGTAACTGTAAAATGGAGCATATTTCAAGAGTGAAGAGAATTCGTAATTTTTTATGTGAATTAATTTTCAAATATCTTCTTAAGTGATTAAAAGTGGTGTCCATACTTTTGATATGTATTTAATCATTGGAAGATTTAGTTAGGGGAAAAAGGGGCAAAGTGGTACGGTAAAAATTAAAAAATTTAAACTTTATGGGTAGGAAAATTTTGTGGAAACATCATTTACTAAATAAATAATCTCAAATCGAGTTTATTCTTTGTGAATAAGGGCATTCATTGCATTAATTTCCTAAATTTTGATGCAGCGATGCTGTCGCCACAGCGACGATGGCCCAATACTGCAAAATTCGCCTCCAAAGCAGAACGAAAGATTTTCCATGGTGCTGCCTAGGTTGAGAATCGATCCGGGTGATTAAGTCGGGAAGCGTCTTCGAGAGGAACTTCCACCAGTAAATAGTCACAAAATTAGCTCATTGACTGCTGTAGTCAACTGCAAAAAAATGACGACTCCTAAAACTTTGAACTAGAAGAGAGTAGCTTGCTGGACTGCTAGATAAGGTGGTAAAACTGACAAACAGTTATCCTTCATAGGAGTCGCACTTGGATAAATAGTTATAGATGAGATGAAAACACCAGTTTAAATTGGTCTTATGTGCCTCCATAAAAACCGATGCGTGCAATGCTCTTAGATTTTGGAGCACTCAACGAAATTCTGAAAGAGGCGAAAAATGCTGGGGCAACCCGTCCTTGTCCCACAAAGTGAACAGCTGAAATCTGTGAAAATACGGTTAATCGAGCTGTTTTGCAGTACAATAAAAGAGGCCCGTATTGGTAAAGGTACTGGGTTACCATATTGTTCAATTTTTTGAAACAAGATGGGGGCAACGGCACGATACTTTAATTCAATTTAATGCGGAATTATTATTAAACTGGCGACGCTCTAAAAAAAGGCGAGTGGAAGGACCAGGAATTTACAGGATCATTATACTTCAGAAATCGTCAGCTGAGGTAAAGCTCGCTCTATATCTGATGCCCATTCGAAAACGTTTTATCTCAGAAAACGGGTGAAAACGCCCTATTTCAGAATTTAGTTCAGAAATGCCCTATCTGGGCTGTCAGTTAAAAAATTCTTAACTCAATACGAATTTAATATATCGGCAGCTGAGATAGGGCATTCTTCTACCAAATTCTG